TAAAATCTGAGATTAAGTTAAATTAAAAACTCTGTGAAGCCTTATTACAATGCTGCCCTTGTAGGAAAATTGCTTTGTGTGAATCAGGTACCACAGTCTTTAAATCAAATCCTCATGGTCACCATGAAGAATACCAGGAGACAACAAATGAGGATTTTGCTGTTTGTTCCACAAAGGCTCTTCAATAAATTTAGAGAACAAATTCAAACTTCAGGCTTCCAGCAGGGAGGTGAAGCCTTCCAAAGCTTTATCCACTGGGTAAAGCCCATTTACCTAACGGATGGTGAAACCTGATCTTCCAAAAGAAACACAGCTAGGAGAAAAAAAAAAGTGAATTACATAATTTTTAGTAGTTGCCAAAAATGGTTTCAATTGCATTAGGAGAGAGGATTTCCAAAACATAGGCCCTACCTTAGGTACCTTTTGAAATGGTTATAAAAGGGCAGCACAGAAAGAAAACACCTTGTACAGGTAGGGAACGACTCCACGCAGAGTTGGACAGGTTAGAAAAGTGGGCAGTACACAATAGGATGCAGTACAACAAGGACAAGTGCAGAGTGCTGCACCTAGGACTCAAAAATATCCAGCACACCTACTGGCTGGGAAGTGACCCTCCCAGCAGCACAGAAGCGGAAAGGGATCTCAGGAGTCATAGTGGACTCCGAGATGAACATGAGTCATCAGCGTGACAAAATCATCAGCAAAACTAACCACACTTTATCATGCATCAGCTGATGCACGACAGATAGATCCAAGGAGGTGATACTCCCCCTCTATGAAGCATTGGTCAGGGCGCAGTTGGAGTACTGCATCCAGTTTTGGGCGCCGTACTTCAAGAAGCATGTTGATAGACTCGAGAGGGTCCAGAGGAGGACCACTCGTATGGTCAGGGCTTACAGGACAAGCCCTATGAGGAGAGACTGAGGGACCTGGACCTCTTCAGCCTCTGCAAGAGAAGGCTGAGAGGTGATCTTGTGGCTGCCTAGAAATTCATTAGGGGGACGCAGCAAGGGATAGGAGATGCTGTGTTCACCAGGGCACTGCTTGGGGTAACAAGGAACAATGGTCACAACTGACAGAGCAGATTTAGGCTAGATATCAGGAAAAACTTCTTCATGGTAAGGGTGGCCAAACTTTGGAACGGGCTTCCAAAGGAGGTGGTGCTCTCCCTTACCTTGGGGGTCTTTAAGAGAAGGCTGGTTAGGCATCTGGCTGGGATCATCTGACCCCAGCCCTCTTTCCTGCCTAGGCAGGCGGGCGCTCTTTCCTGCCTAGGCAGGGGGTCAGACCCAACAATCTGTTGGAGTCCCTTCCAACCCTAACATCTATGAATCTAGTAACAACTGTGGTCCATCATGAATCAAGGATTTCTACAAACATGCACAGAGAACTCAGAAGGTGAGTCTTAAGAACGAAGGGTGGGAATTAGGTTTCTTAAAGACTATGAAATACTGGATTTGTGAGGTTGCAGAAGTTAAATGCAGGGTAGAGACCACATTTTTTCCTTAAAAATAATATAGGATTGAAGATGGGTCCCTCCTGCTAATAACACTGGCAATAACTCAATGGCTTCTATTTTTAAGAACATAAGGGCCTCCTTTCTCAAAGTCCTTCATCAGAAGGATCACTAAAAAGGAAGCAGTAGGTATACACTGGCATGTATAACTAAAGAACAGTGACCAATTTGGACAAGATACTTTCATTACCAGCACCTCCACTGAAATATCAATGCTCAAACATACATCTATGCAAGGAAGATTAATATGTAGTAGAACAAAAATTCAGTAAAGTAGTTTTCATACAAGTACAAACATGTAAGATTTTAGCAATTCACAACATTTGAGAAGTTCTAGTTATACCTTGTCTTCAGATGGACAGAGGTATAAATACTGGAATGTGGCGGTTATATTTTTAGAGAATCTTGGCCCAAAAACATCCTTATCTGTTCCAAACTGGTGACGAGACTGACGAACAATAGAGTCAATAACGTACAATCCAGGAACTTTGTATTCTGGTTTGCACTGAAAAAAATAGAGGGTTCTCAGTTATGTTAGAACAGTATATGTATTACTAACAAAGTAATTCCCTTATCCCTCAGTTCTTCAATAGGTTTCAGATTCTTAACAATCTTAAATCCCATACTTGAGAATTAACTCTGGGCCCAAAGAGAACTGTTACTTTGTCAATACAATAAAGCCCCACAGAAAATTGTTTCCAATGCTAATACACACAACAGTAATATATTGTTAACAAATACCTTGATGATCAGAAAAACTAAGAGTTTTCTTTTAGAGTGGTAAAACACCACAATTACATTAAAAAACAATTGCATGAAGCAAATAACTAAATGTGCTCAATCATGAACAGCAACCATAACAAGCTGTCAATAGTTGAAATACAACTTATGGCAAATAAATGAAGTGTAATATATCTACACCCAAAGTACAGCAAGACTAAAATCAATACTGTACTAATTACTATTTTTCTATGGTACACTAGAATGGTAATTAATCAATGAATAAGGATGATAAATATGGAAAAGAAACTTGTCCGATACTGAAATTTTTAAATGCTTACCTTTTTGATAAATTTCTCTACAATCTGAACTACATGCTTGTAGAGCTGAAAAATAAAAATGCAATCCATTTAAATATCATCTGTTTTACAACAATGTATTTCACAAGAATTAACTCTTTGTACATATTAACAATTAGGAGAATTGAATATTTTCCAGTGACTACTAAAAAAGTAATGATGCACTTAAGCAAGCATTGCTAAAAAAAAAAAAAAATTTACATAGAAAATGACTGCACTTGAAGTACCTTACAACACATATGTAAGTAGCCCGAGGCAGAATAACTTTTGAAAACTGCTTTTTATTTGGTGGTTTTTGTTAAATTCCTAATAGGGTAGGATGTTGTTATATTGCATAATATTTTGGTTCTCTCAGAGGAAAATCAAAACAGGGTTGTACACTGCAGAATTTCAAGCTACATTTTCTTAAAAGCAAATTCATATTATGATGGCAGTATCTCTACAAAACTACAAGATAAAAGAATGTTCACCTATTTGTTTTCTTTGGGGGAAAAAATGAAAAACAACACAGATTAAAGCTTTACAGAGCTATAAAAGGCTCATGTTAAAGATGTACTTTACAAGAAATATACAGTGTAAAAGGTTATGCTACAGTTAGTTTGAATTTATACATTTTGCTTTACCTTAATAGCTTTAATGGCAGCTTTAGTAATGAGAATCATCTTTGCTCGGGAAATAGGTGGTTTCATTTCCATGAGTGAAAAGAGCTTAACAGAGAAAATAAGATAAACATTACACACTGAAATATAAGCAAACAAATGAAGAGACAAGATTTCTCAAAACTTCCTGGCAATTGAAAAGCAACCAGGCTGGTAAATCTCAGGAGGCCTAAAAGTCAAGAATCTAACTTGAACAAAACAATTATTGGCATTCTAGTCAACATCTGAAGTTGTACAATGAAATTATGATAGAAATTAAACAACTTGTGTCCAATGTGTGAATTTAGTAGCTACTGAAAACAGTGTGGCCAGAAAGTGGTATTTGTATTTCACATCACACAAGGAACTATTTTGTGGAAATGATTTGAAAGCAAGGGAATAAACTTAAGAGTTAATTAACCAGTTTACTGAAGCAAGACTACTCTAATGTAGCTGGAAGCCACACACTGTGTGGACTGCAAAGGGGGCTCCATGCCATGTGAACAACTCTCCCCCCCCTCCCCCCGCTATGTGCAGTCTCACCCTGATCCCAGCTATGTGCACAGAGTGGGCAACCCCTGCCCCTACCCCCAGTGCCATGTGCTGCACAATCAACTCAACTCCTTCCCTTGCCACACGCACAGTGAGAATAACCTGCCCCCCCCCCCACTTCTGCACAGGCAGAACAGGTACACCAGCTTCCCTGCTGTGCAGGCAGCTTCCACCTCTGCTGCCTGTGCAGAAAAGAAGGGGGACAGGTTACCCCATGTGCAGCCCAGCAGTTCAGCTCTCCACCCTCACACATGCATCGAGCAGCCCAGACCCCTGCCCCACCAAACGCACAGCACGAGCACCGACCGGCATTGCGCTGCCCCAGCCCCCATGAATGGGAGTGGGGCCCAGTAGCAGCCTCCAGGGAGGGAGGGGGAGCTCAGAGTCACTAATTGTTGCTGAATTAAAAACACCGAGGGGAGTGGCAGCTGGACAAGAGCCCACCGGCCACATCAGACCCATAAGGCTCAATGTCCACCAACTGGACAGCCCCACTTTAGTGGATCCTACAGTCCAGTTACATCTTTGGCGTCCCAGAAAGGATTATGCATAAGTATTACCACAAGCTTTTAACCATCAGTGGGACTGCCAATCAATATTCCATCTCCAATTCTTCCTCTCATATATAGAGCATAGCAGCCTATATGGTAAATACCTCTGTCAAACACACCTGCAACAGGGATCACACGTTACCACAGAAAAACTATATCAATTATTTGGGAAATCCCAGCCAAGAAGAGTGAAACCACCACTTTCTCTCTCTTTAGCTTTTACTTTTTGTCTATTTAATCTACTTCAAGGCCCTCCGGTCCATTAAAGTGAATGTTTGTTGCTCCTCCTTTCTGCAGACTCTTTTTGCTACTTAATCTGTTGCTTACTATAGACAAAAGTTTGAAACAGACACGACTCTTTTAATTAAAAAGCCTACAGATCCCAAAATACCACAAATACATAGTAAGAGAGTGTACGATGTGAGTGTACGATGTGAGTATGGTAGAGAATCTGTGGGCTACATAATTAGAAACCTACTGAAATCAAGGAGACAGGCAAGCAATTTCGCAGACTGATCACAGCGCTTGTCACCATTTTCATGCTTTTTTGCAGCAAGGCCTTCCCCACAATGCTAACTGGTCAAGTGGCCCTGGCGGCAGCCCTGCTCCTCCCTGCTGACTGGCTGAGAGAGCTGCCATTCATGCAGTTCCACCCCTCACCACTGACTGGTGGAGAAGGGCAAGGCCATGTAATAGGCAGGCCTCTCAGTCAATCAGCGGCAGAGGGAGAAGAGGGTGGCAGCCATCTTGGCTCCCTTTCTGTGTGCCAGCAGCCATGAGTACTGGCTCATGCTAGGAAGCCAGTGTTTTATTGTCAGGAAGTTTTTTCTTCCCCTGGCAATTCTGCCAAAAATCACACGGAACTCTGCTTTCTGCAGAAAACACCTCAAATCATGGTTTCTGCAAAAAGCGCGATATCACGATTTGAGTTGCTCCCTATACATCAGGGGTTCCCAACCCCCTGGCCGTGAAGGGCTGGCTGCTGGTCTGCAGGAGGGCTGGCTGCCCGACTGGAAGCGGCTGTGGACTTGCAAACCGCAAACTGGAAGTCACTGGCATACTGCGGACCAGCAGCCAACCCTTTTTTACACTGAATATAAAAAAGGGTTGGTTACCTGCCCGCAGTATGCCCGTCACTTCTGGTCCATGGCTTGCCGGTCCTCAACATAAAAAGGTTGGGAACCCCTGCTATACATAATATAGCAAGCTGGGCTGTGATTAATAAATAACTTAGCAACCAAATGCAACATGAGGACAGGGAGTCCCTCCTTTGGACAGTAGTAACACAAATTAAGAGTTGCAGTCACCAAATTAACCCTTGTTCCTCTTGTATAATATTCCAAGTTTGAGTTCACTTAAGATATTTCAGAAGTCAGGTTAGAAAGATTTTTCCCCTCCTCCCAATTACTAAGGGAAAAAAAGCACAACATAAAAGAACAAATGTAAATATGTTCATATACAAAACTAACAAGATTATAGGTTAAATAGCTTACAGGCATAAAAAAAAATGAGAACGAGACTTGCAGCAATAATTATCAAAACAAAAATCCAGAACTAGCAGTAAGCAAAATAGGAAAAATAAAGAAAACATTAATGTCCCTAACAAGATTCTTAGTTCAAAAGGTACTTACTTTCAACCCTTCTCAAACTAGCAGCAGCCAGCCTTGTAATACCAGAACTAACACAGGCCTCTACTGATTTCACTTGCTCTGTGTTATCTTCCATCCTTTCAGTGAGATAATCTTTAACTCATTATATTGGATTGCTTATTTCCACACAAGGCAAATTCCAGTTCCACATTGGTTTTTAAACAAATCAACCTTCAAACGAAGATATATACTCCCAGCTAACATCCGCGGTAGCCACAAATATGTATTATAGCCAAATAAACGTCACTTGCAAATTAGTCTTGCAGCACAAATGTCTTTTCCCTTTACTACTGTTGAAACCCCATCTGAGCCATTAGGCATCTCTTTGAAATAATTATGTAAACAGGGCTGAATTCAATGTCATTCCTGAATTATGATGCCCATGCCAGCCCTTCCTAGTATTACATCAAAAGCAGGATCTACCCTTTCAAGACAGCTTTAGTCAGAAAGCTTGAAGGAGGAAGGTCCAATTTTGCAGAAAGGGAACAACCTCAGTTCCCCCCACCCCATGCAGGAGGGAGCAATTGGCCCTCAGCAAAGAAAATGTAAGTACAAATGAAGCCAGTGTCAAAGCACAGATAGAAAAACTAGTGCTTCAGAAATGCAAGAGAGAAAAATCTGGAACTGTAGGAGTACAAGAGGTACCTCTGAACACAAGCAAAGGCAGGAACTAGGCCTGAAGAAAAGGTGGGATACTGATGGGATACAACTAGAGCCCAGACAAAATCCAAGGAGTAAGCAAGCAGCTAGAGGGTCAAAAGCTTGAAGTTCAGTGTGAACTAGCTAAGAAGGATGATGAGGGGGAAAACCCTTAGGCTAAGTAGGAGAAGCAAGGCTTGGGGCCTAGTAAAGGAATCTAGGGCAAGAAATATTACCAGGACCTCAGGGAAAACAGATAACAAGGAACAGTACCCATGTCGCTGAAAGAGAGTGAATCCCACCCAAGCCCAGCCAAAACAGAGTGAAAATGGTATTTCCAAAGGGCACGTAAGGCAAGTAGAGATGGAATATCAGATAGACCACATTTAAATACAAATTTACATTAAAAAGGACACTCAAGATATTCTAATTAATTAGAAAAGCACCAATAATTTATAAACCCTTGGAATAGCAGAATAAAAATATTTCCCTTCAAGATTTCCCCCTTTAAAATAAAACAATGTGTAATGAAAATTGATTATAATTGCTAATCTGAAGGAAATTCAATTAAAAAAAAAATCACAAGATTATTCTGTACTTTAAATGGATCAAATTTGGGGATTTCCAAAGCCGTCAGTTTCCCCATATCCTGCAGTAAAAGCTCACCATTCAAGGGCAGACTTGTTATAGAACTGTACTTTGTGGTTACATGGATCAGCAAGTTCCAGTAAACTGGATCCTTTCAAACTATGAACCCAATTCAGAATACATGGAAAAATGCCTTATTTTAAAAGCGCACAGAAAGGAAAAATATTTTCAATGAGATGCATCAAATTTCTCTATTTTATCTGTTCAAGAAACAGCACAATGCAAAAAAATATTTGTAATAGTAAAACAATGAATAGGATACAATTAAGTGGCTGCCTCAAAAATTTGTCCCTGCAACTCTTTACCTCTGATGCTTGACCTCTAAACAGTGGAATTTACAACTTGTTCTCACAGCATTAGAACCATATTTTAGATGGATGGGTAAGAAAGGAAACAGCTTCCTAAGCTTTTTCCTGTACCCATGTACTGACCTCACTGACTAGAGCAGTGGTTCTTAACCAACCTGCCTATCTGTTCCAACAGCAGCTAGGTTCAACTGCCCTGTGCACTCCTGCATTAGGGCTCTCTGACAAGCCTAAAGCAGGCAGGAGAGCTGTCTCAAGTTGCAGCTCTTCCCAGGCTGGTCCCTGCTCCTCCCAGAAACAGAGGCATGTGGGACAGTTCCAATTGTCCTGTATGCCTCCGCTTCTGGGAGAGACAGAGTAGGTTCAGACAAGGAAGGGCTGGGACGCAACCTTGCTCTCCTGTCTGCTTTGGGCTTATCAAAGAGCCCTAGTGTCCATGCACGTGCCACAGACCCTTTCTGTCTAGCTGTGCAGCAGGCATGCAGGGCAGTTTTACCTGGAGGCAGCAGCAGCACCCAGTTGCAAACCAATGAGGTAAGCTGAGCCCAGTGGTTCTCAACCAGAGAGGCTGCCTCATTCAAAAAAAACTTGTGGAGAGGTGTACTGACTCCAAAAAGCTTGAGAACAAGTGGACTAGAGAAATAAAGAAAGGTGGAGCCAGAAATCTCATCCCAGCTTTCCCATCCCCTCCTGTAACCCTCCTGTCTGCAGCAACAAATGCTCCAACAATCAAAAATACCTAAGGATGGATTTAAGGCACTGAGGAAGAATGGAGTCTGGCAATGAGTAACAAAAATGTCCCACTCATTTAGGATGACAATGAGCAGAGGAGCTCAAGATGAATGGTGGGTGAGAAAAACAAAGCTTCTTCAAAGCAAGACTTTCAACCTGAAGACAAAAGTCAGGATTCAGGGAGTACGAAGTGCTGACAATTGCAAGGGTTTTAAAATAACTTTTAAAAATTTCTTCTTTTGTACGTATGAATGATAGGAAAACTGATTATATTAATGAGATAATGAAGCCGACTAAAACACATTACTAATTATCACACGCAGACAAGACATGTAAAGAAAATCTATTTTTCTCTACTTTACTGTGAAAAATCAATAGAAAATGATCTTTCTTTTACCCAGTATTTAGTGTGCAGGAGTAGTACTCAAATTTAAAAGAAATGGTGGGCATATAATTGTAACTCCCAATACTTACGGTATACAAGTAAATAAAGGGTGGAGACAACATTCATAAAAATCAGCAAATCAGGAACACTCCTGGTGCTAAACATTACTGGACTTTCATGATAAATTAACAATTGTATGGCTGAATCTGTAACAACTAGCAGCACAAAAATCTAACTGAATTTGGAACTGAGTATCCCAATGTAAATCTTGACACAGGTGCAGAAGGACAAAATAATGTAGAGAGCAACTCCTCTGGCATGGTCTGGCAGGATGAACTAGATGACCTGACACATTTTTCCAACGGACATTGTAAAAGCTGCTCAGGCAAGCAAGCCTTGCATAAAAATATCCCCCCCATTTTTTTTTTTTTTAATTTTATTTTTACCAGCAAAGCGTTTCATTCTGGAACTCCTTTCTGAGGACCTATTAAGTGTGGAAACATGAGCAGGAGGCATGGGGTTTTGAGGCAGAGCACGAGGAAGAGAAAGAAATGTTTAACCATGACCTTACCTTAGAATTCCCAGAAGACAGCATTTCTGGACAGAGCAGGTCCTCAGGAATAGCAGAAGAATGAAACATGAGAAACCTGTCAGTTTCACTCTGCTGCTGAGGACAGTAAAGGCAGGCTAGGATCATGTGGGACAATGAAAAGGGAAGGCAATGGGACAGGGAATAGCAAACCAATAGCTCATTCTCTACCCAAGACATGGTAGGAGACAAGAGCAGTCCTTCCTAAACCCTACCCCCAACAGTCAGGAAAGTTGTAAGTGCTTTAAATTAGTAAGCAAAAGACCTTGGGCATGTCTACGTGTTCATTAATGCACATTAAAATTTAGTACCTCCATTGTGAGGTACTAGAACACCGCACGTGTGGCTGGGTAAGGGGCCGGAACTTTGCCACAACAAGGATCAGGCCCCTCGTAGCTTTCCTGCCATCTGCCCCTGGCACGCCAACATTTTAGGAGTCAAGGCTGCTGGTATTTTTGGTACTCTGCCCAAAAACGTTGCCATCCTCTGTACTAGAAAAAGATGCATTAGCCTATTTTAACGTGCATTAGTGAAAGTGCATGGTTTGTGACACTTTAAGGTACATTAAGATAAGCTAATGCGCACCAAAGTGCACGTGTAGACATAGCCCTACATTCTAATCTTAGTTGTATGATCTTAGTCTGGTCAATTTATTTCCACTTCTTTTCCCCACTCTGTCTTTATATTTAGACTATACTTTAAAACAGATTTTTCCCCAGACTTTGGGTGCAGATACACAGCATGATTAGTACAAAGTAATTTACCTGGTTCTTATTCCACATTAAGGAGCAGGCACATAACTAATTCACCAGGGCTGGCTTCCTGCAATATGCACATATCCACTTTAACTATGGAAGAAAGATAATTTACCCTGTAGTAAGTGTGTCCTATTTCCACAACGTTCTATCTCTGTCAAGGTATCTAGGCAGTAACTTTCTATCAGAACAGGCTTCCTGTACGAGTAACCAGGAGCTTTTATTTTTATGAAACCACTAGGCAACATCTATGAAGATTAGGCATTGCAGTGGTGCTGTCTATGTTGCCTCCCTGTCAGCCCAGAACAAAAGCAAGAAACCTGCCCCACCACTTTCTTCCACTTCACCTAGGCTCAAGCCCAGCAAGTAGTAGAAATAAACAGCTTGGAGGGGTTCTAAGCACATGACAGAATTTGAGCAGTGCTGAGCCTGCACACACCCAAACCCCTCCAAGCCATCTCTTCCCCTCAATTGACAGGCTCTGATGGAACAAGGGCAAGTTGGTAGAGCTTGCTTCTCAGCAGTGGTTCTGGACTTAATGTGGAGCTAGTACAGTCATAAGAAACATGAATCTGGCAGGGAAAGGGAAGGGAGGGGGAAGACTGCATATGGAGCGGCTAACAAATGCCAATAGGGCACTGAGTTCGGTATCAGGATAGTGCCTTTGAAACTTCCTCTCCCAATTCTAACAAAGGCTCTTGCAATTTTTTCCAAGTCAAATTCAGCTCCAAGGGTAAACAGTCCTACACATCTCAGACATCTTCAGGAAACTATCACAGTATTCCAAAGAAGGTCTAAACTTAAGACAGGTTAGACAAGTTCTTCCAAAAGTAGGTTTTCCATTCTATGTATATACCTTCACTGATTTGGACACTCACCCACCAGATCCAAACTGCCTTCTCCAGAACAAGGATGTTTACTTTATGACAAGCCATCAAGGACAGAGAATAAAAGCAAACTATGAAAGCTTTAACGTTCATCCTACACAGATGAGTAAGTCAACCACCACCCATTGTTAAAAGGCCAGAAAGTGGGAAATAATTATTCAAAGAATGGTAAATTCTAACCCCTCCTCCCCAGTTTGAGAGGGAACAACAGATACAAGCACACAGAGCCAAGGAGAGTGTAAGTCCCATAAGCTTTTCAAAAGAACAACTTTTAGAGGCAAAAAAGTGGTATTTTAGATAAGTTGGGTAATGCTAAACATCTGTATCTTTTGGGAAATAACAAATGTATGTGATGCATTCGATCAAGCAGAACTCTGCTCAGTATCAATAATTTTGAAACAATATTAAACAATTGTTTCTGAAATCAGCATGTTAAGATTTACTTTTAATGATATTTTATTATATTTTTTTCAGGTGTCTTCTGAGATGCTGAAGTATGCATGTCTCCATATCAGAGTAGCATGTGCACTATTATTTATATAGCTCATTTCTCAATGTATAAACAAACTGTTCATAGGAATTATCACACATAAAGGATCTAAAATCAGATTTGTACATAAATTGTTTAGAATATATTTGCATTATACAGTTAGGAATTACTCTAGGCTAACAAAACTATAGGTCACTTGTTCACAGAGACAAATCATTTTTAGATGCTTGCTTATATCCCCATTATAAAATTAACGGACTACTGCAGCAAAGGAGTAGAAGAGAGCAAAAGGAAAGAGAAATACAGCAGATCATCCAAGATAAAGTGCCAGCATTACTAGTGGATGATCAGATATCAAAAGGGTCTAGCTAAATAAAGCCAGACAAAAGATGAGTGGAATCCAGAGACAACCTACTGGTTATGTCTGGTCCTTCCTCTCCTAAAACGCCTCTGAATTGTTGAAAAAGGAAATATTTTGGGATTCCCACCAAACTACTGCTGCTGGACCCTGGCTCAGAGGAAACCACTACAGCAGCACAGAGCTGAGTCATCCAGCGCATGGGGCTCCCCACAGGTTTGGTGGCAGGGAAGTGGTGGCAGTGTTAATTGCCGCAGGGCTCTGGGAGCCCCATGGCAATTAACACTACCACCACTTCCCTGCCACTAAGTTTCTGGACCCTTCCGAAGCCCCACAAGCTGGAAGAGTGCACTCCCCATACATTCCAGACCCAGCACAGAGCAGCTGCGTCCCACTCATCCAGCCCACATGCCAGAAAGGTTGAATACCACTACTCAACAGTATCAGACTCAAGTATACAAACAGTGACACCCACCAACTACTAGCTGGGTAACAGAAAACAGCATGCTCAGGAGCTTATATTTTTGGAAGGATGAAGCTCAAGTCAAATGTGACCCAATATAAACTATGTATATAGTCTAGCATACCTAATGCTTAGTTCAGTAAGCTATTCCCCTTTGACTAACAGAGCCACTCACAAAGTTAAGAGAGTTTATTTGAAAGAAGCTTTTCTATATTCTCAAATGAGAATGAAAGAAAAAAAAGCTTTTGAAAAAGGAGCTGTGTTCAGTATCTACTATTGCGAGAGAGACCAAACCCAGAAATGTCATCTGCCTCTTAAAACCAACATATTATCTTTCTAGTTTCACAACTCTCCCACTCCTTGAAAACTCATTTCTGATAGTTTCTACTAGGACCTCTTAACTGAACATATTTCTGGAGACCCTTTCAGGATTACACTGATACTGCTTCTTAAATTGCTTTGAAATGGTCATGAAAATGATGCAAAGCATATTCTTTCTTATAGGAGACATAGTAATTCTAACATCTCAATGAGGCAGAGGAAATAAAAGGTCCACCTTTAGGTCAAAAATTATATGCTAGCACAATACTTGCTTTCTATCTGAGCTTACTTCTCTCCCTTCCCCGCAACTCCAAAACTGCATCCATGCTACTGCTTGTGCACTCAGTACTTTTAAGTGCATCTAAAAAGGACACTCATTTGATCCTACTCTGGTACTTTCTGCAAGAGTAAAACAGCTATGACTTTCCACTTTTTTTTTTTAAGGAAAGGTTGCCTGGACAAATGGACAGCAATATTGATCCTTCATTCCAGCATTAGACTAGTAGATATGCTTCTGAGGTTCTCCTTTGCTGCAGAGGGAAACTCGCTAGTAAATTACAGCTCCTGCTGGTTAAATACTGTAGAATTTTCCTATAGAATTTCCTCACTATAGATGAGGGGAGCCTAGGATACCCATGTTGTTAAATTAAAAACCCTGAACAAAGAAATAAACATTGCCTTACATGAAGGGAACAATAATGCTGGCTAGTAACAGATGAGTACCTGATAAAGGGTTTGAGAAAAGATGTAGTGGCACATGAACACAGAAAAACAAAATCTACCATTACTATAAGATTACTGTATTAGATCAAAAATTCAATTGCCTGGTTCACTGAATATGGATAAATAACAAAGACATTCCCAAAAGAACATTCATTCTCTTGATTTTTTGGGGTGTTACTGTTCTGGTGAGATAGCACATTTATCATCAATCTGGATTATAAGTAAAGTGCATTGTTTTTATTTACATAATACAGCCATGAACTTACAACACATTAGCTTTGTATATTATTTCCACTGGAAAAGCTGCATAAGGAAACATACTGCCGAGACCTATGAACTTCTTTGCTGCTCTCTCTCTCTTTTTTTTTTTAAACGGTTGCCAAGTTATGCCTCAATTTTTTAAGACTGAGAAGCTAAACATAATACTCTCTATACTGAAGCACAGCCGAAGTAAACATTGGTGTGGAAATATTAAACACCATCATAGACATCTAGATATCTTACTGGATTTCTCGTTAAAGATACTGATTATGCAAAATGTTGTAAGTTACCCATTAGTTATACTCACACAATATATTTAACAATACAAGTCACAGAATTTGTATATTTTGTTAAAGTATAACACCTCATTCCAGCAGCACTTGGTTCAAACTAATTTAAACAACCCAGCACATTACATTATACAAATACCAGACCCCACCATTCAGTGGGTAATATTCTGCTTGAAGTTTGAGAAAAATAATTGAGGAAAGTAAGTATTTGATTAATGCCAACATGCTTTTCAGTGTAGAAAATTCAGAGGTAAAAATGGTCTTTTCCCAACCAAGTTTGCAATAGAAAGTACAGAGATTGAGAAGAGAACAGAACTGGAGCTCAGCAAATAATGTAGTTTTGAGGCAAGCAAAACAAGTTATAAATCTGGGCTGAATTCATCTAACACAGAGGTGCTCAAACCCTGATCCATGGGCCAGATCCAGCCCCTGGCACCGCATCATCCAACCTGAGGGACTTCCCACACATTTGTAGGGAGGCCAATAGGCTGTGGCCCCAAATACTATTTGGCATGCAGTGGTGTGGAGCTTGATACTGGCATATGGGGCCAAGTGGAAGCAGCACAGGGTCCCAGGGCTGTGATCCCAGAGGACTGGGCAGAGGCAGTGCAGGGCCCTGGGGCCCATCACTGCCTATGGGGCTGGACAGAGGCAACCCAGGCCCCTGGAACCTTGATCTCACCTCATGGGGCCAGAAGATAGATGGTGTGGGGCTCAGGTGCCCCAATACCCACATGCAGGGCCAGACAGAGGCCACATAGGGTCCAATACTGCCACGCAGGGTCTTACCTGTGGGCCCACCCTGCACCACTCACTTAGCTTGCCCAGCCAAAAGGTTGAGCACCACTGAACTAACAGCTCCAATGAAAGGAAAATGAAAAGTTCTAAACAGTTTGTCTTCACAGCCTCAAAGAATCAAACTTTTTAATTTTAGGAAAGGCAGTCGGTACAGTGCCACCAACCCCACAACTTTATGCTTTTGTAACCCACCTAGGATCCAAGAGACTCGGGCTAAAATCATCTGTTTTGAAAGTGGGACTTGAACTTGTCTCTCAACTCTAAGACAGTGCCCTAACTACTAATCTATTAGGTATTTTGGGAACATCTCAGTTGTCCTGTTGAAGCTGTTCCACTCTACATAAAAGAATTATTGATTGAAGTAGGAACTGAAACTGCTACCTTTATAACAACAGGTACTTGCGGCGTACGGACACCAAGGACCTTGAAACCCTCCAACATTGCTCAGGGCCATAGGAATTTTTTTCAAGAGATATGTGACTCTCATGGACAGAAAGTTATAACGCTACCCACAACACATCACTTGCTTGGTACTGCTATTCAGTAGCTAGCAAAGGTTGGGGACCGTGGCTCTCCACATCGAGACAAGTGATTTCTCCCTTTGGTATGTCTCTCTCTCCTATTGTGCAAACAGCAGTCAATCACATTGTGAATCTAGTCCCTCACTTTAATTTTAGAAATTATGGAAACTAAGACATTTTGTTTCAATTCATTGAAAGTTCTAAAAAAATGTGGTTTGTTTTTGGTTATATTTGCACAGTTCTAGGGATACAAAACTTCCTAGTGTCAGTATCTAAACTCACTTTTGCTTCTCGTGCAACCTTGGGGGGGAAAATATCAAGGAAACTATATGCATGGGTCCTGATCCTGCAAACATTTATAACACAACTTTAAGTAGGTGAGTAGTCCACTAGGATTCTCAAGTGACTAGAGGAATTAGGACCAGTATTATGGAGGAAACCTCTTTAAAAACTGAACTGGATACACAATGTTTTAAAGCAATCTAGTTTTCATATACTCCACACAGATGCAAAGATTTCAGGCACTCTGATATTAGAGACTTTCACTTTTCCTATTTCTTGGCCAGATAGACAGTTTTTAATATACGACAATTTCCAATATTAATATCAGAATGATTGCTTCATGAAATGCCAAGACATACTCCCACATGCACAGTAACCATTTGGGGTCCACAAATAAAATCTGTCTAATTGTAAAGATGAGCGCAGAAAGTAATACAGGGAAGCACCTTATTAAAGCGATGAAGCAGTAACAACCATAAGTGCAGGTAGTTGACACCTCCACTTTTAATATTTAGTCTATTCTTTTGCACATGCAGCATGTGTGCTACTATAATCTTTCTAAGCTAGTGGTTCTCAACCAAGGAACCACAGAGCCCTGGGGTGCCTTGAGATCCTTTTAAGGGTACCACAGAACATTACCTCTGTCAGGTTTACAGACATGGTTCATGAGATAAACCCAGATTTCACACAGAAATCCACAGCTGTGGGCCGAGTTCTTTGCAACAGAAAAAATGCTTATTTCTGTTGGTGAGACAAAAACTCTTAAATAAGAGTCAAATATGAAAAACAGCTGAGAGTTAAGAGGAAGAAAAACCCTCTTGTTTCTGTAGTCAAAAAGAAAAAACAATATAAACTAAGAGGCAACAAGAGTTCTTTGGGTAACTGTGATCTCTTTTATTAATAGATAATAGATCTATTACCAATAGATAATAGCTTAAAAAA